CCGCTCGGTGCTCATAACACACCCGAACGCCGCAGGGAGCAAACACACTTCTCTCTCTCTTGGGGCTCCGTCTCCGGAGGCTCCCTCTTCTCCCTTCAGCGAAAGGTGTCCGCTGACAAATCTCTCACCCGTTCCGCCCGCCTGGTGGTAAGCAATATGCGCCTCCAGCTCCATAAAACTTTTCACTTGGCGTTTGTTATCGCGCCAAGGGCAGTTTTTAACTAATTCTAGCTCTAGAGTGCTTTCTCCTGATCCCATCCTTGTCGCCATGTGTGGGCCGGGAGCGATCCGGGCCTTTTTGTGCTCCGCGCGGGCTGTGGCCAGCAGCCCGGGCACACTGGGCCGGAGAAAACAGGCGACACGCTAGAATTAGGCACGGACGCGTAATGGTTGATTCAAGATTGTTTACTTACACCGAAGATGGTCGCGGTGTAGGCTGGACAGTTTCTCAGGCACAGCTCCGCTTAAATCCTCGTTTGAGGACTCAGACAATATTCGGATCACTCCCACGGAGTTGTCGAGGCTCCGTGGATCCTTTTGCATGCAGGGAGAGGGGTACGTTGAAGGATTGTGAGCGGCGACGGGGAGAGGCTAGAGGCTGGTCAGACCTCTGTTGCCTTCTTGAAATGTGCTGGGTCCGATAGGCTCTGCAGCGCTTAGAGATCTTCACACAGTGTGAAGTCTCCTCCTCCTGATGTTCGTGGAGTCCTCCCTTGCGGGGGTTCTCCTCGGAGTTCTCCAACTTGGGCGGAAACCACCCAAGCCTTTTATATGGCTAGCAAGCAAATCGCTAGCCGCCACATGGGAATAGTTTCACGCAAGCCAATAATGGGGCTCGAATTAGAATACAAATGGCGGGAACTCTTTGCAAAGTGCATTTGTGTGCTGCAAAGAAGAAATGCACCCTGCAAAGAAAGCTACAAACGGCGGGAAAATAATTCAGTGGTGCCAAAGCGCACACAAAACAAAAATCACACCTTTGGGTTGTGACAAAGATTAGCTGACCTTGTGCTAAGTGATGGGCAACACCAGAGGGCGGGTCCCTGTACTACAGATATTACGAGCAAAGGTCCCAATCCTGCAAACATCTATGCAGGTAAGTGTCATTATGCACAGAAGAGAGAAACATCCCTAAATTCAGTGAGAACATCTAGAGGAGGATGTGGTTACAGGTTCTGTGCCTTCAATGGATGCTTGCAGAAGTGAAAAAATACCCTTAAACTCCCCCCCCAGCACTTTACTTTAAACTTGGTGTGTTCCTGTGCTGATCCCAGCACATGCCTAGAAGAGGCATCATATTAGTTGGACCTGGCTTATCTAACATCTGTACAGATCCAGCACTTTAGTGAGGTTTTTTTGGGTGCTTTTATCTAATAGCTGATTGAATCAGCTTTAGAAAAAAGCGCTAAAATGTGCTGCTGAAGTGCCTGATCTATACAGAAGCTGCAGAGTTGGGTTGAACTAACGTGGTATTTTTGGTCAAATGCAGTTTTTTCCCCCCACATCTGTCAGCAGCCTTAGACACTTCCCCTGTTGTAAAACATTTGAGAGACTAAATGCATTTACTGATACAGACAAACATGCACTAAGACTTGCAAAAAAAGGGGTCTTCTTCAGAAGGGTTTTGAGTGACCACAGGGATAGACAGGTACACTTGGTGAGGGAGATCATTCTATATAAACAGGAAGGCACAGAACAGAGCAATTAACAAGACTAGAAGACTGAACATATCTTCAACAAAACAAAGGGGAAAAAAAAAAGAGATTTACACTAAGGTGGAATTGTACAGAACTGTGAAGTCTAGATCTAGTATGGTGGGTAAAGCAGCAATACTGTTATGCTTTTTATTTTCAATGTTCAGTGATTTTTGGTATTGGGGAAAGTGTTGATAATGCTGCTGTGTAAACAATTATAACGAGTTTACCAAAATAAAGTGTTTCTTCAGAGGGATTTCTTAATACATGATTGAAAATGAAGAGGGTATACTCACCTCAAATGTCATTTCTAAGTGGTTTTTGGGAATCTGCATTACTCCAGTATCTCCTAGTTCTCCCGAAACACAAATCCATGGATTTGATGTGGTTATTGCATTGCTTAGCTTTTTGATGGGGATGATCACTGACCTGTATGGAATCACTAATATGACAAAAAAAGAAATTAAATCAAAACTTAGTTGACAATTTAATAAACGTAGTTTACAGAATAAGCCATGTGTATCTTACTGGTAGTTTCTGCTCTTGTTTAAGGCCCAGTGGCATTAAACATTAAAAAATATTTTCAAATACTTCCAATGGTGCAAGACAAAAGCTAAAAAAAAGTGCACTGACTATGGAAATAGATGCTCTCATCACACAGGAAAGATTAAGCATAACAGAATTCCAATTCCAGATAGTCACAACCTACTTATAAACAGAAAAGGAATAATTGTGGGGGGAAAAAAGACAGCAGGCAGTACAGCTATTGGGTAGTTTCAAGATAGACTAATAGCAATTGGTGCCTATAAAAATGGCTTCAAATACCAATATCTTACATCTCTGGCATTGAGAACAAGATACTCCCTGAGTACTGCATACTGAGAAAAGACCAAGGATATTTGGTCTTTCAAATATGAACAGTGTCCAGATAAGCTCTTTTCTTGTAACATTTGGAGTTGAGAATATCCCCCAAATTAAAATATGCTAATGTTTGCCAGTTTGTGCATAGCATAAATGATGGGAAAGTCAGCACATCAGAAACTACAGGAACAGACGCTTGTAACAATACCCTGAAATAGTTCTTCCAAAGTCTGAAGTCAGAAACTGAGAAAGGAAGGAACTTCCCTACATGTACGTAATCAAGTGTTTGTCATTTGCCCAGATAGCCACTAGGTGGTGATCGTGCACTGTAACAAAAACTAAAAAAGCATTTACATCACACACAAACAGTTCAAAACAATTAAGGAATGATAAGCTTTATGCCATCCCTATAATCAAAATGAGAACATAAATTTAAGTACATATTATAGCCTTATATGTCAAAGTACCAAACAAACTTGGGATACCTGGCTAAGGACATCATAGAGTTAATGCTCAGTGTGCAATGCTGAATCATAGTTTCATAGTTGGTAGGGTCGGAAGGGACCTGAGCAGATCGTCAAGTCCAACCCCCTGCCATTGCAGGAAAGAGTACTGGGGTCAAACAACCTAGCTAGGTGATTATCTAGCCTCCTTTTGAAGACTCCCAGGGTAGGAGCGAGCACCAGTGGACATTATTTAACCAGCACCACTTCAAATCTATGGGAATCTATCCTTTCCTGAATAAGAAAACAGAGTGGGTTTCCCATCTCATCTTGAACTGAACCATGTAGAATTTTGGTCCTTGTAGTACAAGACTTGTTCTCATTACATTTCACAGGCCAGCTTTTTCCCTTGGTTTGAGAAGTCATCATCTTTACTTCTGGAATAACCACCACAATACTGAACACAAAAATACTGAACACAGCTGAATGCTTTTGTTTCACAGGAGCAAGCTGCTTAGAAGTATGCCCCAGAAAACAAAGTAATAGCAAGGAAAAAAACCATGTCTCCGTGCACACTTAGATGCTGTGCTATTTTGTTAAATGATGACTCATTTTCTTAATTAAGACTTAGCAGGAGAAAAGCTGAAGGGGTTAGCCCATATTTTGAAGGTTAGGCAAAATTCATCTTATTTTATCTCTTAAATAAGTAGGGACATGAAAATGAAAAAGATTGCCAAGGTTAACCCCAACACACCAATGCTAGTGCTCTATATCATTGGAGATAAAAACCAAAAAACCAAAACAGGATTATGTCTAGGTTCTGACCTAATCTTATGCCTCAATTTATAGGAGAGTAGGAAAGAGAGAGTTCTTTCAGTCATGTCAGGAGGGATGGAAGAAGAGGAAGCAGGTACACTGACTACATATACAATACTTCATCCGTCAAAAGGTTTTGCTGACAGGTCCTAAGGAGTCGCAACTGTTTCCCAAGCAATTGACAGACATGAAAAAACACAAAACAGAACGGCGCTTGATGGAAGAAGAAGCACATCAGTTTAACCCAGTTCCCCAGTGCCTGTACGGACTGGGCACTTCAGCAGGGCTTTTTGGCACTTCTATCTAAATCTGATTCAATCAGCTATTAGATAAAAATGCCAAAAGCCCCACTGAAGTTCATGATCTATACAGACATTGGGCAGCTGGGTCAAACTAACACAGTACCTCTTCTGGGCATGCACTGTGCTTGGCACAGGGGAATGCTGAGCTGAAAGTAAAGCACTGGGTTTTTTTGCTTGTTTGTTTTTCCATATCTGTAAGCAATCCCAGTGGCCAAACAAATGGTGACCGTGATGTATACATAATAGAAAAAATGTGGAAATATTGGTATTACAGAGCAGAGGTTCCCAACCACTGGGCCACAGTGGGTTGGATGCGGGGTAGTGGCATGAGCCATCTGCTACGAGCCCCGTCTGTACACCTGGGCGAGCTGCTTCTGGGGTCACAGCTGAGCTTCCAGGGTTAAAGCCAGGCAGCGGGGAAGCCCCAGGAGGGAGACAGCCAGCTGCGTGTGCCTAGTCCCACTTCTGCCGGGCCATGGTAAAAAAACAGGTTGGGAACCACTGTTACAGAGGACTGGGAAGGGAAGAGGAATGGAGAACTATATAATCCTGAGAGATAAAACCTGTACTAGAATGGTCAAGGATCAGAACATTCTTTGAACACTGCTCTCCTCCAGTATCTGATTCTCTTATCCCAAGCACTGTCATTTGTCCCCGCATTTTGTGAGGGACAAAAGCAGCAGCTAGAGCTACTGATCTCAGTAGCCGTGACTGGGTTCTTATCAGGCAGCCTGCAGCCATATTGACCATCAGGCAAGATAGTGTCCTGGGATCACTCCTCTATCACCATAGGGACTAGAAGGGGTCTCTGGGCCAATCACTGACTTCAGTCCCCTGTAGTTCATTTACCAAACTATCATTTACCAAGAGAATCCTTAGAGAAAATTGCCACTTTAAACCCTCACCCACAATGACTCGGAACAATATCTGCAACACCACAAGTACCATATGACATTCCCCAGGTATAAACCAGGGAAATGAGGGCACTGTCAATGCCAGCCAGTGCAATGTCTACGTGTGCACTGTTGTGCATGAACAAACTCTGCAGCAGGGCAGTACTTGTATTTTACAAGACTACTTTGCTGTGGAGTTTATTAGGTTTCGTGTGCCCAGGCACCAAGATGTTTACTGTGCAGTAGACATTTCATTTAGATGTGTCCAGTGTGACCCTAACCAGGACAGCAAGACCATCTAGGCAGGGACCTCTGGGTTTCTAGTACTGGCAGGAGAAATATTTCCATGAAAACATTTAGCTTTTTTTACTAAAGAAAAAAAAAAGTTTTATTCTCCAACTCACTGATTGTGGTGAATACACTTGTGAAGCAGAAGTAATCCACAGCATTGAGTGAAAGCAGGTGATACAAGAACTGTTCTCGTTCTTCTTCACAGCGCAGGAAAGCATAACGCTTGTAAAGTTTCCTAAAAGAAATGGAGATATTGCTGCTCTTGAAAAAAACGCCTTCTTAAAAACAGTTAAAATTGCAAATCCCAGAACATGAAATTAAGGGCCAACTTGCACAGAAGGATAATGGCCAGATTTTCAGTTGCACAAATTGGCAAACCTCCACTGAAATGACACCAATTTATGACTAGTAAATTTATGACTAGCCTAAGTGTGACTAGTACCACAAGAGCTTTCCTTTCTGCACTGGTTGAGTGATCTCATGCATGTTAAGTCTGACACAGGAACATTTGCAAATGCATTCAGGAAATCCATCTCCAGTCAGGAGCAGTGCTGTGCCAAATGGGTATGATGGACCTTGGCCCCTGTTCAGCATATAACTAGGAAACAAACTACCTCAGGTACTTGGCAGCTGTCTACCATGAGCTCACCATGAGGTACCTGATTTACTTTGCTTTTGAGGTGGATTTTGCAGACCCGTGTTGAGCCCTGTGCAGCCATAATGTGGCTGCTATCATTATCCAAGTTAGCCAGCATAAAGCTATGTTGGGTATGTCCACAGTATAATGCCGCACACTCATAACTTTAAGACTGCCAGCATTGGTGAACTGGAACTAATGGCTGCCTATACGTGTGCTGGTTTGCGTTCCAATTAGAACATGTCAGAGCAGACTTGATTAATCGAGTCTCCTCCATGCTCTAATCAGAACACTCCAGTGTGGCCACACCACCATGTGTATAAGCCAGGGGCAGGCAATTATTTTGGGCAGAGGGCCACTACTGAGTTTTGGCAAGCCATCGAGGGCTGCAAAACAGGCAGTCAGGAGCAGATAAAAATTAATTTTCTAAATTTTTTAGGGGCCCTGTGGAATGGCCTGGCGAGCCTCATCTGGCCCACAGGCCACACTTTGCCCGCCCCTGGTATAAGCCCCTGTACATTTAAAAATGGCTGCTGGGGTGCTTTATCCAAACCTAGGTTTAGTTAGGATTAGTTAAAGCACTCGCAAGACATTTTTAAACTCGTGGGGGCTGACTACACATTATGGTGAGGCATTTTAATTAGAGCGGCTGTCTGGGAACTGCTCTAATTAAAGTGTCCACTCACCCCAAGCATGTGTATAGGCAGCCAATGTTACTGGAAGAGCACAGCCACCCCACCCAAACCCCTCATCCTTCAGGCTCTCCCCAAGCCCCTCCTTTCTGGAGTGCAGTGCATCTAGGTTAGGGACAGACATTACACATAACTGGTTTAAGTGATCAGAAACTGGTTTAAACCTGGAACAGAACAGATGTTCAGTGCACATAAACCAGTTTGAAAATGGCTGAAACCGGTTTGAGATAAACCTGGTTGAATGGAATATCAGACTTAACTGATTTGGCTCAAATCAGTTTAAGCAATGTCTGTCCCAGACCCCTTGCTGGTTTAAGAAAAACCAGGCTCCCCCAGCATCCCGGCATGGTCTCTGGGCTGGGTGAGGTTCTCTGCTCCACAGCAGGGCTGGCCCCTCCCTTCTGCTCCCTAGTTGCAGCTCCCGCAGAGACTGTAGGCACAGCAGGCTCTGCCTGGCTTCCCCCTGCCCTACCCTTCCTTGCTGCTGAAGCAAGGATCCACACCCCCCATCTCCCACAGCATATACCGCAGCCCCATGGACCCTAGGCATGTGGCATGCTGGCTAATGCTGAGAGGTATCTGTATGTGTGTGTCTCCAATTTCACTGGAATAGGCAGACAGTACAGTGACCGCTTAGGGTTTTTTGGAGCTAATCAACAGGTCAGCTGGTAAGTTGTTTAAGAAGAGTTGAACTAAATGAGAGTGGCTATTGTTTTGCTGATGGGGTGATAAACACTGTTATCAGCTCCCTGCTGGCTCTCTTGCTTGTCAGTTTGCTGCAGACAGTATAAAGAAGCCGGGGGGGGGGGAATATTGAAAAGCTCCATATCATCAACAGATGCATGCGCTGCACATCCCCCTTTGCCTCAGTGTGCTAGTAGGGGTCTGAGGTCTGGTAACACTCCTGCCCCTTGAGCAGCCAGTGGGGAAAAGCTGGGGATGTGCAGGCAGACCTCCCAAATCAGAAGTCCTGCCAGGGCCTGGCCACGTGCCCCCCATTCAGCACTCTGGAAGGGAAGGGAGGGCTGCTCGAGTGTCACCCCGCCCCCCAGCTTCTATCCTGAGCCACTGCAGGCATGTGCCTGAATTTCCTCAGTCCAGAGAGAATGTCTGTCCAGTTACAAACCAGTTCAGCCTAGCCAGGTTAGACTAACCTGCAAAGAATGAATCAATTCAGGCTCAGGCTTTTTGAATGTCTGTCCCTAGTCCTACTGTCCAAAGCCTCTTCTCAGTCCAAACTCTGACTGAAGAGCCCAATTAGGAAACATCATGTAGTGCTGCCTGGCTGACACTTCAGTCTTTTAATTTTTGAGGTATCTGGTACAGCAGACAGAATCAACAGAATCTCAATGAAGAATGTTCAACAGTAGCCTGACTCAGCCCAAAATACTGTGAAAGCTGAGGGTACAGACACACCTAACACATAGTTTAAATGCAGTTTAAACCTGAAATGGACTGACATACAAGCCTGTCAAACTGGTTTATTGCTGCCTGGAATGGTCCAAAAGTGTACCTGAAAAATCAAGTACTCTTTTGAATCAGTTCATTGTGAACTTGGTAAATGTTACTGGTGGACATAAAGGGCATCTTTACATGTGGTCTGGGGGGCGGTATGTGTGTGTGGGAATAGGTTGGGGGGGGTGTGCTTTAATTACAGTGGCTGCAAGAGCTGCTCTAATAAAAGTGCCTGCCATGTCTCATGTATTCAGTGTCCTGTGCTTCAAATGGTGGCAGGGGCATTTTAACTAAAGCCTGTTTGATGACCTTTAGTTAAAGCGCCTCTGCTGCCATTTTGAAGGGACACTGAATATATGAGTCGCAGAGGTTGCTGAAGCATGCTAATTAGCATGCACCAGCAGACTTGATTCAGTCTGCTCCAACATGGTCTAATTAGAATTAGACTTGATTAACTGAGTCTGCTCTGACGCGCTGTAATTACAGCGTGTCAGAGCAGCATCCCTGCATGTCTACAGGCATGGAAGTGGTCAGTTGTCCAGACATCCGACATTGCATTGCTGCTTACCCTTCCACAGCCCTGCTGTAACTGGCCACCCTGGTACACAACCAAAACTCTAGTGTGTCTTCACACATGCTCTGGGGTGGAGGTGGGGGCACTTGAATTAGAGCATCTCTTGGAAGCTGCTCTAATTGAAGTGCCACCAAGTCTCGTGTATTCAGCATCCCACACTTCAAAATGGTGGCAGGGGTGCTTAAGGTAAAGCACCTCTGCCACCATTTTGAAGCATGGGGATGCTGAATGCACACTCCAGTAGATTCAAAGAACTGCATCTGCTCCAACATGATCTAATTAGAATGCACTGGAGCAGGTATCAGGCATGTGTATAGGTGCCCCTAGCGCCCACTTTACCTGGACTGTTAGGGCACTGTACACATAGACACCTCTAACCTGTGACAACTGTGAATCGGTTCCCAATCCACTGACTTTTGGGAACAGTTCAATTGTTACGTGTATCCACACCCTAAAACACTATCTCCCTGTTAGGCTCTAACTGGTCCCTAAACTGGATGTAAAGGCAAAACACTCTTCAGAAATTTCAGGGTAGAAACAGACGCTGTCTTTTGTTGCCTTTGTACAATGTTTATGGCAGCACAAAGGCCAAGCAGACAGATACCCATAACCCTTGTTGCACCAGAAATGCCCCAAATTTGTGGCTGTGTCAATGGTGGAATCATTTAGTGCTGCTATTTAGCAGTGGAGATCTGTTTACTTTATGGCATGAAAATGCCAGCAGCCCAGGGCAGGTGCTCCAGGGGCATGAGAGGCCTGATCCTCCACACCTGAGGAATTCCCACATAGACTTGGGCCCATCAAGGCCTAGGAGCCCCTTCTCAGCTTTTCCCGCTTATTAAAACATTTCACCAGGATCTCCGAGGCATGTCTCAGTAAGCAGGGAAAATTAAGGCTTCCGTACTTAATGGGTTGTGCCCCAGAGATCCTGCAATGTGGAAAGAAAAGGCTGGGTAGGGCTTGAGGGGCAAAATTCTGTGCAGGAATTCCCAGGGAACAGAAGACCAGGCTCCTCGAGCCCCAGAAGAACACATAGCACATTATGGCACAGAATCAACAGGCAGGACAACAAATGATGCATTTTGCCCAATGAAGCAGGTCAGCTGTGCTGGGACATCCTGGTGCAGCTGATCTGCTTTGTTTGGTGATGTTTATGTCTAGTTCACAGGGCACTCTTACAGCACACATCAGAACACAGGGAAAACAGAATAACAATTACTCTTACTTAGCAAGTGGCTGGTTAGAAAGCAGCTGCTTAAGATGCTGGGACAAAAGCTTCTTTTCGAGTGACAATCTTATCCAGGCTCGAGCTCGACCTACATCAGTCTTTATTTCACTCATGTTCTGAATATGCCTGGAATGAGGGGAAAAAAAGTTGCAAAATCCTTCACATTTAAAATGACTGAGCCCAGTACAAGGTAACAATTACATCTGAAAATATCTCCTGAAACTGAAACTGGTTGTGAGATATGCAAAAACATTCTGCCCCCTAAAATTAGAGACTTCTTGCCAGAACCAAGTAAAAACAGTTTCCATGATTTCTAGCAAACATGAAAAACTGTTTCAAAATGTTTCTTTAAAAGCTGCTGCAGACATGAGTCCAAACCCTGACATACTATACATACATGTGTGCGCGCACACACACACACACACACACACACACACACACACACACACACACACACCCACCCACCCCCCCCCGATTTAAAAAATATATTATGGAGTCTACAGTAGAGTCTTACAAAATAATTGAAAAAAATTGTGGATTGGCTGTCTACATTGACCAGAGGTAGAATGGCAGCACTTTGCTTTAAATAAGTCAGTGTAAAGGATAGTAAAAATGTTGTAGAGGTTCCTCAAATTGATGTATTCTGAAAACAAGTCTAAATGTATAGAATATTTAAACTGTCAGTGTCACAAACATTCCCCGTGTTTTATCACTGATGAAGATAACAGTGGACTATTTAAGAAAAAAAAAAAAAAAAGATGTTTAATCCAGACAATGAATGATTTGTGTGGCGGCAAGGTGCTTCCACAGGCTCCTGAAGGGGAAAGGGTAATCCCCACGGGCCCCAAACACTGGAAACAGACCCCTGGCGGGGATAACTTACCTCCCGCCAGGCAGCCAGAGCAGGAGTTGGGACCGCAGCCTCAGTCGCCTGAACTGGCTTTACGCCGGCTGTTTAATCAGCTGTTTCCCATGAGGGGAACAGCTGGACCAATCTAGGCGGCCGTACCAGCCGCTGCAGGAAAGTTTAAAAGCTCCGCCAGAACCAGGGTGGGGAGTAAGCCAGGGAGAGAGAGCGCTGGTGGGCAGCACGCTAGATGTGCTGAGGCTCTGGCGTGGGAGAGGAGCGGCACATCCTGCATGGCACCCACAGGCAGCGCAGGGGAAACCTTTGAGCCCCTGCAGGAGGCAGAGGCGGGGAAGCCCTCAAGCTCCCTGCTGAAGACAAGCCAAAGGAAGCATTTAAGCTCCCTGTAGGGAGCAGGGCAGAGGAGGCATTTGAGCCCCCTAGAGGAGGCTGGGGTAAAGGAGGCAGCTCCACAGCCTTCTCCTCCTCAGGGGAATATTTCTTCGAAAGAAAAAAAAACAAAAAAAGGGAAAATCAAAGTGATTAGAAAAGACAGGCCGTGCTTTGAGGCCGGAGGGATGAGAGCCAGCTGAGTCCACTCAGACGTGGGACCCCACCCGAAGCATGCTGCGGGCAACCTCGCAGGGCTGAAATCACCATTATATGGACACCCATCCGGTTGGTGAGTGGATGGGGTGTAGGGCTGGTGGAGCCCCGTGGAACATCGCACCAAGCAATCGTGAGTACTGCCGTTTGTTGGGAGGCACTCCCAGGAAGATCTCCACTGAACCCCCCCCTCTCTTGATAGTTTAACATCAAAGTCATGGCAGGAGAGTTGAGGGGAGGGGCTACGCACCTGACAGGCCGTGCAACACGTAAGGCCCCCAGAGATCACAATTTGACATATTCCAGAAACACTTCACACCTGCCTCCATTTTATCTATGCTACTACACAGACTACCTGAGTAGTAAACAATGTCAGGAGACTGTTATAACAACAGAGTCAGTGTAGCAAAACCATTTAACAGTGCAGAGGGTAATCTCAAATGAAAGATTATTTTTTGCTATTTTCTAGTTGGTCTAATAAAAGGTATCACCTCTGGACCAAGAGTTTTAGAGTTCTGTATTCCTAGTTTTCTATCAAAGGCAGACATTTATTCTAATACCCCTTTATACCTCCAAAGAGATGTTAATGGCCTTATAAAACTGGTCACCAAACCTATAATGTTTTCTCTCTGTAGAAAGCAGAACTAGTTTGAAGAGCTTTTGTAAAATAAATCTTCCCAAGTTCCCAACTGGAAAGACTGCCAAGGCTGCAAGTTCTGCAACACAAACAGCTTTAGAAGACTACCAGGGCAAAATTGAGATTGTTTCAATCTTTGCAGGCTTTAGTGAGAGGATGGGGAGCAGGGGAATGAATAATGACTAAGTGTGGGAAGATGGGGCTGCAAACTTAATTTTTACTCAGTCTGCCTGTTCAGTGAACAGGCAATTCACAGCATTTCACCCTTTTGTATTAGGTTCCGAGCTTCAGCAGCTGTGACTGAAGTGATCTGTGTTAACACCTACTTTCTAAACTCACACATCAGTCTTCAAAGCCCAACAAAACATGAGGAAATATGACAATGTTTGCTCCATAAAACCATTCAATGAACTCATGTGGTGATGGCTGTTTATACTGACTAGGATCACAGATTACTTTCACTGTGCTTCCTGTCTAGCAGGTGTGTCCACTAGTGTAACCAGTCCAACTACTACCACTTGGACTGTAACCTCCTCAAGGAAAAAGCTGTTTTGTAGATTGTTTAGCACAAAGTAGCTTTTTGAGTACTCAGCTTCTGCAGTATAAATGGTAACGTTATGCTGGTATTTGCTAAATGTGATAGGTTTTAAAAGAAGCTTTCTTCACAGATCATAAAATGGCATATGGACAGGTCTCAGACAAACTGAGTTGGGGGTACTAAGTCTTGATAAATTATATGAAAACCCTGTAATCTGAAGAGTCACACTATTACCACATCTACAGCTTCCCTCTTAAGGAGTGACTCAGACTAGTTAAATCACTACAAAGGCCCTTGCAAGGCATTCATTGAAGCAACCCTTTTTCCTTGGTTCAGATACAATTGGGCATGTGATCAGAAGTCCTTGAGAAATAGGATGCACACATTACTCACTCACATCATGTTGAGATGCTCTCTGCAGACACTTAGTCTTTTGAGATGAGAAGATCAAAGCATAGAATTGCTTTTTTTTCTCCCACAGTGCTCAGCTTAAATTACATCTAATATGAAGCACTAAGTTGAGCATATTCTTTCCCCAAGAGTAAATTCAAATACAGATGGTCCCAAATCTTAATTTATGCACCCTTTGAACATCATAGCTGCCTGGTTCTGGTACAAAGACAAATCTTTGCTCGCTCAGTGATTTGCACAAATTGCATACCTGAAAAATATTAAGCTTACTTAAACTATAAGAAGCGGCAATAATGAATAACATGGTTAGCAAAGGCAAACTTATAAGTAAAATTGATCATGGACTCTGCTACCAATACAGTATTGCCAACTCTCATAATTTTTGGCATTATTCTTAAAGCCTATGCTTCAGGAATGTGAAAAACTTAGTTTTTTCTTTTTTTCATTTATATAGATGGGCAGGGGCATGAAAGGCCTGATCCTATGCATCCTGCTCCAGGGGCATGAGAGGCCTGAACCTGCGCACCTGAGGAATTGCCACATATATCTATATATGTGGCAATTCCTCAGGTATATCTATATATGTGGCAATTCCTCAGGTACCTAGGTTCAGGCCTCTCATGCCCCTGGAGCACCCGCCCTGGGCTGCTAGCATCTTCATGCCATAAAGTAAACAGATCTCCACCGCTAAATAGCAGCACAAATGAATAATATATATATAAATGAAAGAAAGAAAGAGCTAAGTTTTTCACATTCCTGGAGTGTAGACTTTCAGAACAACACCAGAAATCATGAGTTTGCAACACTGAATTTATTTAATTTGCAGTTGTGGGTATCAAAATAACTCTTGCAGCTTATTTAATCACTACTAAAAGTAGGGGTGTCTCGCCATAACTGCATCACACAAAACCTGTCACAGCACCAAACAGAAGTTTGGCCAGCCAGAAGTTGGAAGTGGATGCAAATCCTCCCAGTAATATTTAAGAAATATGTATTTTTCCTACTTCACCGTGCCCAAGTGCTGCCACTAGAAAAGCAACCGGCAGTAGTAGTACTGCCTATATCCCTTTTCCCAAATAATACAGATTCCCTTTGTGCTAGATGCCATCACATGCTTTGCCATCATATGCTTAGATAGTTCTCTACATATGTGACAATATATGGACAACATTAACTATTTCCTGGCTGCAGCAGGCTTTATGGGCTGCAGTTGACCCCCTTAGCTCTGTCTTGCTACACCTGTACAAGATGTCAGGTTTGAAAGGAATTATTAAAGAGGAAAAAGCACCCACCAGTTGGGAGCGAGTGGAAA